CGCGGCCAAGCATCTTCTGCCTGTCAAAAGTTGTAATCAATATATCATCTATTACTATTATTTAAACAAAGAAAAACTATGTGCCTTTCTGGTGTTTTCTTTTGGTGACCACAGTCGTTCCGCAACTGCGAGCCCTTGGCCTGAAAGAATAGAGTGAAATCGCAGAGTTTTGGGCAGCTAAGAGAAAACCATAAAATTCAATTATTTATATGATGCTGCGTTTAGTTTAGCAAATTCTGAAGGATGTGCTTTGATCAACTTTAGGTATATGGTATTAAAAACCATTTAAGGCTTTGAAACCCAATGTCAATGTTAGAAATTTACCACAGTCGGCTCTCGATGTTGGTATTATCTACCATTTCACCCCAAATGGCTGCGATACCTCCAAGCACAAGTGCTTTTTGTTGATCATTTCCTTCAAAGTCGGTGGGATCGCAGTAATAATATCTAAAAGATATGCGAATGCACTTGCACGTGAATATATTAGAGCACTTTTTAGTTTCCTACTTAGCATTCATAGAAAAGAAATACTAAATCATTGGTGTAGAAGACAAAATCAATTTTAAAAAACCTCGGAAATATAAAGCTGTTCGAAATGATAATATGCAAAATTATTTACTTTTCTGAACTCTTTCTAGTAATAATGGAATCAAACCTTACCTTGAATCTGATTGATTAAATCGTTTTAACTCATCTTTCCAGTCAGCTCCATACTTAATACGATTGAGGTACCTAAGTAAACTTTCACTACTACTTGAAAAAGGTTTTCAAGAATGTTCACTTAGAAAAGTTCATAAATCAATCAGCTGATATCTCAGTCATTGCACTGCGTATTAGTTCAAAAATTCCTTCAACGAACATGAAACGTAATTTTGCTTTTTCCAACAGATTCAATTTAAATTAATGACTTGTTTACCTCAAGCAGAAAAAGTAGGACTTCCTGGTTTGATACAGATTTCAAGTCGAAGTCTATGCATGTGTTTAACATTTAAAAGAAAGGAGAGAGGGAAGGGGAGTGAGGAAAAATAGAAGCAAGTGTGAGAAACTTATATGGTAGAACATTATTGATCAAATCTCTTTTACACAGAGCAAGATTTTGAATTCATCTCAAAAAAACCTTTAATATGCAGCCAGATCTTCATCTGAATTTTAGAGAAAGGCAATTTAACTTTTGTGAAGAAATTTTCATAGAAAATCTATCTGCTCAAATCCATGATCGTCTCAATGTTTATGAAGTATCAAAAACCGTATCACAGAAATCTTACCAGCATGCCGACACGATAGCGTTATAACCCTTCGCTGTAACATTTTTCACCTCCTTCATGATTTCTTGATGAGTTCTTCCTCTCCAAATATGTATTATGGAGTCGTATTCCTGCAATAACAGCTGGATGCAACCAAACTGATTTAGTTGAGAGAACAACTCACCGGAATGTTATTATCGAAAACTTCTTGCCAAAAAATTGTTCTTCTTTTAACTTTCAAATTCCTTACGATTGCATGGAGCCTAGATTCAAGGTATGTTATCGAATTTTAAGAATATTCTTGAGCCTGTTTTCTTTTTGTTCGCTAACAATCTTCGCTCAGCTTAAATCGACATCATACATGAATAAATAAAGTAGTTTTCTCTTATTCAAGCCCCTTGTAAGTAAGAAGCTCTTTGTTATAGCCTGACTACTACTTACTTACTTAGATACTTAGATGGCCTGTCTTCACTCGTCGTGCAGGCC